GGCCATCAACATGGCCGATCACTAAGCCGTACCAGCCGAAAGCCAAAATCACCACCAAGCACAACGAAAGCACTGCGGAGGAATTGGGTGAGACCTTACCTTACTTTTCTTGTATCCCAACTATCTTCCTGTAAAGCCTTCTGAAATTTTTTCCCCGCTTTTAACATAGCGGCGTCTGCCTACCTTGGGAAAATACAGCTTTGAAAAGAAAAGAAAAGAAATGAACAACTAATCTAAACAACTAAATAACTGGACTTGTACTTTTTGGATATTTGGGGTCCCAAAAAGTTCCTATTACCTTATCTATTTGTTAAGTTGAGGAAAAAAATTAAACTGGATAAAAGCTAACCTGTGTCTGGAAAAAGATTTTATATGCTATCAGGGACATCTTGTGGCAAAGCCTGGTACAGCAAGTGAATTTCTTTGACTGTGAGGCTTGCTTACTCCCTAGATTTGTCCTTCGAACTATCTAAAAAAGATAAGAATTTAAAGCAGCTGGGTGGTGAAAACAACTTCTAGGAATAGTGGAGGTGGACATCTGCTGACTTTTATTAAACATAGCCTCCACTAAAGGACTATCTTCAATGGATGAATTCTACCCACAACTTAACTACAAACTCATACTTGAAAAAATCCTTGAAGCCACTGAGCTAATGAATTCCAGAGTGAAAGACAAAGATGTCACCTTAAAATTACAAATTGAAGCCCAGACTTCAACTGATGAACTTACAATCCAAAAAACAACAGAAGAGGAACAAATTAATATCAAAGAGGATTCTACACAATAACAAGTACAATTTACAAAGAACTTTGACAGTCAAACCTTGATTTCAATTAAAGAACCTGCAACTCAAAACTGAAGAAAGCAACACTAAGATGGAGGGTGCTAAAGAGCAACTACACAACATATTGAGAACCTAGATAATCCAGACAATCAAACAACAACTACAACACCAGACATGACCTCTTATTTTAGCCAAATGAAACTGGAAGAAGACCAGACCGAACTGACGATAAATATTTTAAATCAAACATGGAGATTTGAACTATTAGGGTAACAATCTAATGATCAAAAAGGGGCCAGTTCCTTTGAAAAAATGATAACTGGATGCTCTCCCTTGATTCAAATAACATGTATAGGAATGAAGGGAGATCCATCTGAGGATTTAAAGGCACTGGTATGGAAGCCTGCTTGGCACAAAAAGAAAGCTAGAGTTAGATTTTAAAAATGGGATTTTCTTTCTCTTCCTTTTTTCTCTTTTTTGTTGACTGATAATGGAAGAGCTTAAAATCTTACTTAATGGGCCAAGGAGATCTTTAAAGATATTGATTGATTTAATATTTAGGACTTAGATTTATAAGGGAAATGAAAATTAGCCATTATATTATAGTTTTGAATTGCAATACGGAAGTTGGTTTGTGGCAATAAAAGATATTTTATTAGTAAATGATGAGGTACTAGGATGAGAAATAGAATATACTTATGAAATAAAGTAAGAATGTAATTAACTGAATAATATGTGTATTTTAGATATGATAACAATTTTGTAATGAAATAAGGAAAATTTGGGTTACCTGAAGTCTAAATATTATGGACATTAAAGGCTAAATTAAAACACTGTAATTGAAATTAGGTAAAACTTAAAAAACAGGACTTGGATATGTATAAGTAAAATTATATTGACAAATGTATTGATTGATTGAGCTATAATTACAAATGTATTAACTTGAATGTGATATAATAACTAAGGGAAATAAATAGGGAGAGAACTTTTAATCACACAATCTGAGATATGTATGAAAGATTTTGTTACTGGACTATTGATTACCCAATCACCACGCTGCTTCTTAAGCATTTGGATGTAAAATTGAAAAAATAATAAAACTTGTTTGAAAACAAGATCAAATAAATGTTCTCTTACCATTTTCTGGCTTATTTTAATTTTTGTTTCTAATTTTTTTGGGGTATGTTGGGCTATAGTTTCTTTTTGTGTGAAGACTGATGCAAAGAATGAGTTAAGCAGCTCTGCTTTGTCCCTATTGTCTATTATTTCCTTGCCATCTTCTCTCATTAGTGGACCTACAGTTTCCTTGGCTTTTTTCTTGTTAGTATGTTGGAAGAAACTTTTTTTTATTATACATGATTTCTGTTGCAAGTCTTTGTTCATTCTGAGCCTTTGCTTTCCTGACTTCATCTTTGCATGTTCTGGTGTCTGCTGATAATCGGCCTTAGTTATGTGCCCCTCTTTCCATTTTTTGTATTTGTCCTTGTTATCTTTCAGTTGTCAGAGAGATCTTTGTGTAGCCATGCTGGTTTCTTCTTGAATTTCTTGTTTTTCTTTTTCAGTGGTATTGTGCTGATATGGGCTTTTATGATCACATTTTTCAGAGTTTCCCATGCTTCTTGGGTTGTTTTCCCATTTAGGATTTTCATCCATGCGATCTTTCCTAGGTTCTCTCTAGGTTTGTTAAAGTCAGCTCTTTTGAAGTTCAAGACACTAGTTGGATTGTTTTCTGTTGCTAGTGTTTGTATTATATTAAATTCCAGTATGACATGGTCACTTTTGCCCAAAGTTCCGGCAACTTAAACTTCCTTTATCACTTCTTCTCTATTACTTAGAATTAAGTCCAATATGACTTTACGTCTACTTTCCTCCTCCACCTTTTGGTGGAGTTGTCAGCTAGGTTGGTTAGGAATCTGTTTGAACTTCTGCTCGCTGCAGTTTGTTTCCCAGTTGATATCTGGATAGTTGAAGTCTACTCCTGTGGTATGCTTCCTGCATACATTTGTTAACTGGTTGGCAAAGAGTTCATCTATTTCTTCTGATTGGTTAAGTGGCCTGTAATGTACACCTATAGTAATGTCACTTTTTTTCTCTTTTATATTGACCCATATACATTCTGGAGAGATTTTATCTTGGATCGTGCATTTCTGTAGATATGTAGTGTTCTCTTACACATAGTGCAACTCCCCCTCCTCTTTTTGTAGACCTGTTTCTTTTGAACAATTTGTATCCATCCATCAGTCCATTCCATTCATGGGTTTCGTCCCACCAGGTTTCTGTAATGCCAACTATGTCATACCCTCCCTCATTTACTATTGCTTCTAGTTCAGCCTGTTTGTTCCCCAAGCTTTGAGCATTTGTATATAAGCATTTAAGACTTTTATGCCTGTTCGTGGGCATGTTTCCTGCATCTCCTGATTGTTGTTTGGGTTTTTCTTTTTTCTTGTCTTTGCCTATCTCAATGTTTGATTTGTTTTCTTGGGATTTATGATCTAGAGATTCTAAAGATTGGTCACCCTCCCCCCTCAGATTCAGTTTAAAGCCCTCCTGATGAGTTGGGCCAGTCTTTTTCCAAGTACATTTCCCCCTGTTTTTGTGAGGTGCAGCCCATCCCTTGCCAAGAGTCCTTTGCATAGAAAATGCAGTCCATGATCCAGGAAAAAAAAATGTAGAAGATACATTGTATCTCAATTGTATCCAATTGATTCTGTCTTTACTTTTCTATCAATTCTTTATTTTGTGGTTGCTACCAATATATACACAGCAGCACAGGTGCACTGATGATATTAAATCACAAAACATGTATTTTTTAAAATAAAATTGGATCTCTGATATATCCAAAACATTATAATATATTTTGTGTGAATATCTCTGCATTTTGCAGAATTTATAACCCACAATTAACTAGCTGATTTTGATATAATGTTGAGAATTATAAGTTTATAGAAATGAAGTCGTACTTGAAAATCATATACTATTGCCATACTAGGCAATTTGCAAATAACAGAAGCCCAACCAAGCTACTGTGATATTTACAACATTATAACAATTGTTTTATTATCCAAAACATTTGTTGTTGTGTTGAAGAAACAGCAGTGTAATAATTACAAGCACATGGATTAAATAGATTAAAATCATAAGGCTACTTTTAGAGTGTGTTCTGTCAAATGCATTGGAAAAAATTATACAAGAACAGAAAATCCATTAAACAACTATAAACCAGCAGTGTGCTGCTAAGATTAGTGAGGCCAACAGAAATAAAGTCTAATTTGTAACTGATAAATTATAATCTATGCCACATAGTTTTATAAGAGAAAGACATATGAAGAAAATGTGAAGAATCACTGTGGTATTTTGTCACTGATGTTTTATATGATGGTTAATGACTGAGATCAGAGATTAAAGTTTTATTTAGGCACGGACTAGCTTTTAAAAAGGAATATTAAATGAATTCTAGGGAAGAGAACTTTTTATATTGTGTTACTAATCAAAGACTACTTTCTTTTATATCAGGATGTAAAACACAGGATATCTACTCCTAAAAAAAACTACAAATGAAAGTGCTGCAAGTCAGCACATTTTCAATTTTTCAGTATTGAAATAGAAAGCTATGTGTAAATCTTACATAATTCATTATGTTAGCTAACAAAACATAACAAAAATGTCAGACTGCTAGGCTATTTTGCAGCTAAGTTTCATATTTCCTTATATATAGTATTTTTTTGTTTTCCTTTTCTTTTTATAACATTAATATTAGGTATTCTATTATTGGCTAAAAATAAAAAAAGCCAGTGAAAATTAACTCATTTAGCTAGAGATTGAAGAGTGCAAGCAGTAAAAACAAATTTTCTGATATTATCTTCTGAATCTAAACAGAAAATTTAGAAAATGTAAAATGAAATTCTTGCTCTTCCTACAGTGAGGGAAAAAATCAATTTATAACTTTTTTGAAATGCGCTTTTCTGGATTTTTTTGTTGTTATTCTGTCTCTCACTGTTAAAATAAACTTACCATTAAAGTTATAGACTGATCATTTCTTTGTCAGTGGGCAAACATATAAAATCAGCAGGGGATCAAATACTTTTTTCCCTCACTGTATCTGGGACAAGCTATTTACAAAGGCTATTTACATTATATACTTGCTTTCTTTTTTCTTTTTAAAAAGCACATTTCTTACTTTTTATGTTCAATACTGAGAATTCTCAGTTAACATACCAATTGTGCAGTGCTCGCCATTCCAGCCTTGGCTGCATTCACACTTTCCATCTTTACAAGTTCCATGTTCAGCACACCGAGGATGGCATGCTCTTTGATTGCAAGATGCTCCAGCCCAACCTTCTTCACACCGACACGTTCCACCCATGCAGACACCGTGAGCACCGCAGTCAACAGAGCAGATTTCTGAGACAGAAATAAAGAACGTGGTAGATGAAAAGAGAAGGAAAAAAGCAGAAGGAAAAAGAGGACAGTAATTAGTTAAGCTCCAAAATCCAGCTATATGAACTCTTTGAAAATTAAATCAAGCAATTTATTTCAAGTGATTCAGAAGTTATATTTCCCAATAGTTGATTATTTATTCAGCAGATCTAGTGATATCTCTCTACTGATTTCTTCACTTAGCTTAGACTTCTTTCGATATGTGACCATTTTTAATCACATATTGCTTATGAATAGCCACTATAAATTTAGAAGTCTTTTGTAGATTATTTTCAGTAAATAGTGTCACGTTCTGAAAAATATGGATTATAATGCAAAGATATGTTTTTTAAAACATTAAAAAGTTAAAACACTACAATGTTGAGTTAATATTTGACTAAATACCATACAATGTGAATTCATCAAATTTTAGAATCATACATGTATAATATACCTTTTGCTTAAATTCAATTAACTCAAGCACTTTTGAGAGTTAAGTACCACTATCAATGGTAAATTCTACATAGTCATTTTTCTTAAGATATACAGGGCTTTCTGACCCTCATGTTATTTTTAAAAACAGCAGTGGTTGTATTTTTTTTAGAAATGTATAGTATTTATAATCTCAAAAATGTTAAATATGAAGACTTTGTATAGGCAATATACAGAGTAGAAAAATAATGTTTCAGAAATGTATCTTCTTTTTCATTTAAAAAACACTAATATCCTGTACTGTATCATGGTGGCAAGAATTTTTTTTTCTATGAGGGGTGGATATCTGAGATTGGCATGAAAGTTATATTCATACAGCAACCTTTCTTTTGATTATAGTTATAAGCTGTGATTTTTCTTGGCATTTTTGTATGCTGAAGTTCCATTTATTTTAGGCCTTATTACAATTACTGATCAATAGAACCATTTCGAACAATGAAGTCTTAGTTGTATAATGTTAATAACCTTTATATTATGATAAATGTTTATTATTTGAAAATTTGCTTTTGAGCACAGTTTTATGTCTTAAATGGACAGAAGAGAAGGCTATGTAGGGGTGATTAACTTAAATTTCACTGTGAAAATCCATGAAAATCCAACTAACTGCTTTAACAATAAAGCACACATAATTATATGTAAAATGTAAAAAAAAACTGCCTGTTTTTTTTCTTTTGTTTCCATGAAAAATACGATCTAACATAACTGAAGGACACAGTTGAAGTCTCTTAGAATAATTTCCTCTTTAAAAACCAGAACACCAATCCTAAAAAGGAATTATTTGTGATAGATATTGAAGTGTAAAAAACGTAAAAGTCTGAAAAAGATCACCTTGACTACTTTATCTATTTCAAAGTACTATAGAACATCAAATGTACAATTAAGTATGTTGACAGTATATGTGTCAGAATGAATATTGACCTGCAAAGCTTTTCTCCTATCATGTTTTATGTTATGAATTGGATTTTTTTTGTTATGTTTGGATAGATTAACTTCTGAATATCCTCGTTTTCCAAAGACTTGCCTTTTCTCCTCAGTCTAATCAATTTTTCATTAAAGAGAAGGTGTTTATCAGCTTTTAGCAGATCTGCTTTAAAGCAAGGTGTGTCAGTCTTTGTAATGAGCTTATTAATTAGGGTTAATTTAGAAAAACTGGATTTGGAGAGCTAATTAATGGACAACCACTAAGGAAAAGGGAAGAAAATAGCTTATACTTTTCTCCTTTGCGATATTAACAATTATTCTAAACTGAAATATTTTCATTTGATTGATGCAAATAATTTCAAATATAATTCTTAATATTTTTGAAAAGCTATTAGCAACCTTCAATTAATTTCAAAATTAGTTTAATTTCCTACTTGATGAAATATTAATAAATGTATGCTAGCTTCCAAGTTATGAATGCCTGGGATGAAACTGGGGCAAAAATACATCATAACAAGCAGGTATTGTTCCCTTATTGTTAACAGGGAATGCTGTTAACAGCATTGAAATGGATATGACTAAGATTGGTAACCTAAACTACTTTTTATCTTTCTAAAGAATGCAAAATCCGTGGCAGAGATCAGTACTTACTGACCCATCTGATGATGACCATGGGATATGGAAAATTTTGACTTGGAATGTCATTATAAAATTTTAAAGAGCATAAATTAACTATCAATGGAAGGAAAATTGATATGTATCGGTGACACTATGAAAAAGGGAAAGGATATAATAGATCCTTCAATAGAATGAAGGTGATCTGATCATGTGGAGTGGAACTGATGAACACATACATGGACAGTTGGATCAAGATCATATGGTGCCTTGTGTGCTTACTGTTTTCTTGCAGAACGTCCCGAAACAAAACACTGAGTCAAAATATGTATTCATATTTCCTCTCTTCCCATATACTTTCTGAAAGCCTGAACATCGCTCAAGTTGTCTTTGAAATATATAGAATTAGGTTCCATAGGCTCTTCTTTGCATTTCTGCCAATTTTATCATATGAAAGGGAACCTAGCAAATTTTCTTCATGTTCAGTTCACACACATTGGCTTTAGTTGGTGACATTGACAGGGAGAGTAGGTTATATTAAGATAGTTTAATATGAAAACATTTAAGTGTACAGTATAACATCAATTCAACTGATGCTATTGATGATTTAGCATAGATACAAAGTACTATAATAGCTAAACATTTTAAACGGTTGGCCATTGATACAATACTATTTTGGCAGCTGTACCCAAAACAGTTTTCAGAGGATCTGAAATGGATATGGAGGTATTACAGATCATATGTTACAAGTTAAAATTAACACCAATTAATGCAAACTGTAAATAAATTAACTGTAGTTGCTGATACAAGAAACTGTGTTTATGGAAAATAAAAACTTTTTTGTTTGTCTTGGTAATATTAACATTGATGGTAGGCTTTAGTGGAATTTATAAATTAATCAAATCAGCACTGCAGAATCTTGGAAGTTTTTAATATTATTAGCACAAAATAATTTCCCCAAAATTCTTACCATTAGAGCAATCAGGGCCAGTCCAATTAGGATCACAATTACAAGTGCCACTTTCTTGCAGATACGTGCCATGGCCAGAGCATTGTTCTGGACACATTGTCTTCAGTATTTCACAGTTGTTACCACCCCAACCTGGATTACAATGACACTCTCCATGGATACATACACCATGATTTGAACAGACTGGATCTAAACAATCAGCTGGGGAAAAAAAGGTTAGTGTCTGTAGGTTTTACTATTTTTTTGCCAGGCTATATTCCTCATATTACACATTAATATACTAAAAAAATGAATCAGGAATCTTATTAGGTACAGAAAAATGAAAAGAGGAAGCCCAAACTCATCCTCAGAAATAATATCAGGATAACATAATGCAAAGCTATATGTTCTAATAATTAGGAGGCCTGGAAAAAGACAGATGTATCTCTGTCATGGAATATGTAACAGGATAGAGAGTTACATACGCAAGGTGGTCAATAAATACAATCTTTAAATAAAACAGAAACAGTTAGTAACTTAGTATCATATTGAACTTGTCCTCTTCAATTCTCTTTCATGTCCCCATTATATGATTCATTTCCGATATCTGCAAAATCTATGCCTAAAGAGTAAAGTGAAATTTACATAGTAGCCGATTCTATTGTCTTTTGTGCTGAAACTCATCTACAGAGAGAAAGCATCTTCCAGTTGAATAATTCTTTGGTGATGGAAAGGCTCAGGAGGAACTAAATTTAAGAAAGAAAATGGATGAAAAGAGGTTTGAAAAACCCACCCTGCATATAGTGATACAATGTCAGATTAGTAAAGAATATACTTATTTTGGAATTAAAAATTGGTCAGTACAGGTAGTCCTTGTTTAGTGACTACAACTGGGACCCAAAATCAGTGCCTAAGCAAACTGACCAAGACTGTGCTTCCTGGTTTGAAACTAAAAATACTGCTTTAGTTGTGTATTTCCTATTGTGTAACCTGCTTACTATCTGTAATGGTGATTATGTGACTGAGGGACTGCACTGTCATATCTTTGGATAGTTGCTAAATGACTATCCAAAGTTAGTAACCAAGTACTACTGTAATAGTAGCTTGACACTAATCATCATGCTTTTCTAATATCACCTATCTCTAATAAAAAAAGGATTGTAACCGTACGTTTCAATTTCTGCAATTTTACCTTTGCAAATTAAATACATGTATATTTAGCAATGTTTTAAATAGATGTGTTTCTTCAGTGTTATATTTTCTATCACTTGGGGGTGAGATGCTCATGAACTAAGGAAAATGATTGCTAAAGTATGCCTTATGTAATTTAGAAACAAAAACAGCTCATCTTATAAAAAGAGCAAAAAGAAATAGAATAGCAAATCCAGTGGTGGGATTCAAATACATGAACAACTGGTTTTCTGTGTGGACGCCACTTCCGGAAGTCTGTTCTGGGCCTGGGCCTCCAAGGCCCAGAACATAGTTCCAGAAGTGGCATCCACACACTTCCGGTGAACCATTCTGGGCCTTGCAAAAACAGGCTAAGTCTTCAGCCGGTTCGCTGAACTCAACAAAAATCTGCTGAATCAGTGCGAACTGGCTGAATCCCACCACTGAGCAAATCCCTGCCCATATCAGTAGTATGATTATGTCCATCTGACCCTTTACCTTATGTTAATTAGGCAAGTAAAAGATTAAACACCCTAAATTATACTGAAAAAAACACTTCTTGAACTGTTATCAGATTTTCTTTGGTTTTAGTTTTAGTTGTATTAATTAACCAGCCATTTTTAAAAAATGTAGTTGCTTGCTTACCACTACATTCCTATAGTTCTGAGTTAACCAAAATTAGTTATGCATCCCAGCAGAGCCCTATCTGAAATGTTTTAGAACTGAATCTGCAAAAATCTTTACTTTTTGTATTTTATTTGCTAATCAGAGGAATATATATATAAACTAAGCAAATATTATCTACATCAAATTAAAAATAATGAAAAACACATAACTCAACTATATAGGAAATAAAA